CTAACACTCTTCCCCATAGGCGCTGTCTTGCAATCATTTGCATTATTAGCCATGTTATTGCCTACGCAGTTACCTATTTATATTGGTCACCTTACTTCCCTATGGAGGTTACACTGATACTCTGAAGTCTTGTTTTGGGAATAATTTGCTCCTTTTCTGAGCCTTGTAATTGACTGCCACAGCAAAAATTAAAACGTTTTAAGCTTGCTATAATGATAAAAATTAAAGAAAATTAAAAAAAAGCTGTGTTCAATAGCTCAAAGCAACAGTGTTTTCTTTTATCCAAACAATATTGCACTGGGTGTAATATTTTGAACAGGAAAATTTGTTTATAATCAAATTGAACAGAAAAGGTAGTTGAATATCAGCAGGTTTGTTTTGAACTACTGTTACTGGCAAATGTAGGTGGAAAAAGCAATTGAGGCTGAATTCTTATGAGAATTCAAGGGATTACTGAAGAGTTTCTTTATAATAGCATGTCAGTCATTGGTGATGCCCAAAATTTTGTCAAAGGGATCAAATCACGTTTTCATCTATCTTTAGAGAAGTTCATTGTACTTCCTAAACACATTGTCAATAGCATTCCTTCGACCATATACATTTCTGCACTGATGTTTAAAAGTTGTATCAGCGATTGTAGGTGACGTCACTTCTGTTTGTGTTTGAAGCGAGATCCCAAACAAACCAAGTTGGCTCACCCCCTCCCTCCCGGTTTGTGCATCATGAAAAACTCACACCCTAGAGCTGTCTAAGAATTATATTTTCACACACAGTTCACGTACAAAAAGTCAGCACTAGAAGCTATTCGCCTGTCCAGACGAAACAGTGCAACCTCGGCGTCCGATTTAAAAATGTTCGATTCTTTGAGTTCTCTCCTTCCCGATTATTATTCGTTTCTTTGACGAAAAACGACGATATTCCCTCACTCTAATCCTCCTTCTCTTCTTGGGGATTTCCTCTTCCATGTTAAATGTATCTGGTCCGTTGATAGCATAGGGTTGATAGATTAAGGGTGGGGGAAAAAATCGATTCTTAGATGCATCACGATGCAGAAGTGGACGATTCTGAATCGAATGAAAGTTTTTTTTAAAATATATATTTATAATAACGTAATTTTGATGGAACGCGAAAGACGGAACTGAAGCACGGAAGTACAGTGGCTGGACCGTCTGTGGCGTGCACATAACAGAGATGCGGACACGATGACTGAACGCCAAATCCACGTTAAAAGCTGACGTGGGGAAATATTTTGGCTTCTGAAGTTGAGGGGGGAAATGAGCTGGACAAGAGCCACACTAGTTGTAAGCTTTGTAGAATTAAACTAAAATATTTTGGAAATACGACAAATGAGAAGCCATATGACACGTTTCCAGCCAGAGGAGGTAAAACACTCAGCTGTACCGGTCGTTGTTATATATATATATATGGGCTCCAGACTAACTTTTTTTACTAGGAGCGCTGTTGCCCCTGACTGAAAATTTTAGGAGCGCAAGCAGAAAATTTAGGGGCACACCTTAAATCAGCTTGCAGTGCAATTATTCAAATTTCCCCCAAAATAACTGTAATACTGACATTCTTTAATAATAAAGACTTAACATTATGATATGCTGTTTTATTTTAACTTCACAGGGTTCCAGACTCAAAGTTGAGGGCAGCATCACCTCAAATGAGAACTCACAGCGAGTTCTACAAAAAACAAAAAATAAATAAAAAAATTCTTGTAGCACTGGGGCTGACAATAAATCACTAAGCTTAATTTAGGGTGTAGATGAAATTAACTTTAGTTATTATCATTTATAATGTCTTAATATTAATTAATAAAAGTAGTGAAAATATGTATATGGAGTGAAAATAGCCAATAAACATCCTACTGTTTACAACGGTATTATTATTTTTTTTAATTGTTTAAATAAAAGTTTTCCAACATCTTAATTTTTCGTTTTAGGACAATCTTTAAAGGATGACGATGTAATGACATAAAAAATTCAAAAAAATAAAACATTTATATATGATATTATTGAAGTGCTGGGAAAAGATGTGTCGTACTTGTAAGCATTTGACTATTCCTTACACATTATCATATTTATGGTTAGAGTTAACTTACTACATTAGCCTAAATCCATGGTTCTGTTAGGCTGATTTGTGGACTGAAAGCCTTCTCTAAGTGTTTCTTCTGGTTTCCACGTCAGCGCTGTTTGATCTGATAACAGAACTCTGCGCCGAATCGGAGTGTTTCTCACTGGATCTCGTAGTGATGATGTTATTAATTCTGAGGCGAATTCAATGGATTTTTTCACTGGATCTCCTAGTAACAGTGTTGCGTAAGCGAGATCGGCCCGCGACTGGCAAGTTCGGGGCTTTATTTTACTGTCAATGGTTCGGATCGCTGCGGCTGCTCCACGGTCCTAATCATATATGAGTGGCGTATTTTCGTTCCACTTTCATTTTGTTTGCATTCGCTGCTAGGTAACGACTAACGAGTGGATAGATCGCTGATTGCTCAAACGCACATCAGGTTGTGATATTTGTCTCCGTCTCCTTCCCACAGACGTTTACGCGCGCTATTCTTGTCACGGATTCATTGACGCGCCCCTTCACGCTTTACCACCATGCGTTTAACGTGTGGCAAATTTACTGGTCGCACATGTGCGACTGGATGTAAAATTCAGTCGCACACTCTCAAATTTTGGTCGCAAAATGCGACCATTTGGTCGCAGTCTGGAGCCCTGATATATACACACATGTGTATATGTGTGTGTATATATATATACATACACAGTACATACATGCATATATATATATATATATATGCTGCTAGTTCAGGCACACATTTATTTTCCTGTTGTTTTTTTGCAATGTTAATAAAATATATTGTAAATTAATTCTTTGTGGGTCATTACTTTGTACTTTTAAAGCAAAGTATTTAGTCACACACACACACACAAAAGATTCAGATAATCGATTTAGCATTGAATCGCAGCCCTCTGAATCGTAATCGATAAATAAACCCACCCCTGTGATGGATGCTGGCTTATTCTTGAGCTCCGACTTTGTGTGCAGGCGCTGTGCACAAGCGTAAAAACAAACAACACCCGCCCCTGTCGGTGATCGGTTAGAACACGGTTTATTTTGATTTTGAGTGGTGGTTGTACCCATTTGTTTTTGTATGCAGATCTCAGAGCCTAGGCTGCCTACAAAGACCCGTTTGTATTACCTGTTATGTGTCATGCAAAATTTTGCTGGAATGTGATGCTGATATTTTTTATTTGTCTTCCCTCACAGGTACAACAGAATAGCTCGGGAATGGACACAAAAGTATGCAATGTAGTTTTGGAGTTAGGATCACGATGGGAGAAAATGACACCTCTCCATCTTAAGATTAGGGGAGGTTTTGAACGTTCAAAAGATTAAAAAAAGAAAAAAAAAAGCTTAAGAAAAAAAACAAACAGATCTTGTTGGTTTCCATTGGAGTGCTTTCTTTAAGCCACGCCTCCCCTCACCAGAGCACCTCCCCCACTCTTAGCCCTCTGGCAGCCATGGTGTACATACTGAAACTTCAGCTGTAGACCCTTTTCCTCCCCAAATTCAAACCTCCACTCCACAGCTCCCGCTTTACCTTCTCCGTTGCTATAGCGACGCACCCGCTGCTTAGGATCAGTCCGTATAAATTTTGCTGTAGAAGATGTTTATGGCTCTAAAAGCATTCCTTGTTGTTTTTAAGAACTGGGAAGGGAGGGCTATATTATCATTTGTTGAGTTCTCCCTGCAATTTGTGATAGTCTGGACATAGAGGGATTTGTTTTTTACAGTTTACTTTTTCATTTCCATTTCCTGGGCTTCCAACTGTACATTGGATCAGGAAGTTTTTTTTTTATTATTATTTCTTTACTGCAGAGAAGGGAGGGGTATGTTGGCTGTCTTTTTGTATAAAACCTATCAAAGGAATTCTTTTAAAATCATAGCTGTTAAAGGAAAATGGACCTCCTGTCTTCTCCTCTGGAGTATTCTAATGGACTTGAATACTATGAATATATATATATTTTTTCCATTTGCCATTGCAAAGACTCTCTACCCCTTTCCTTAGCCATGACCAACTTCACAAACATTCACCATCACGAAGGGTTTTGGACCAGTTATTTAAAGCAGTCTCTAACATGTGTCTTGTTGTTTTTTCTTTCCCCCAACCCACCCACCCTTGTAACTCATAGTTTTTGTTTGTTTTTCTTTTTTTGTTCCTCTTCCCTTTTTCTGCTCTTGTTGAATTAGATGCTAACATGGTTCAGCCAGACTCGATTGGGTCCCAGGGTGGGAGGACACAAACTCCTCACAGACAAACTTCTGTATATTTAATTTCCTGACGGGCTCGTTGAGCTTTGTGTGTTGATTAAAACTGTGTAATAAAATGATTACTAAAGTCTGAAATACTTTCCGTCTGCATGTTGTTGTTTTTTCCTCTCACGTTAACGTGTCTCAAAAACACTAGACTTTGTCCTTTGTTTGGGTTTGGTAGTCAAATTAATTCTCAACTGCTTGCCCAATCAGTGGTCATTTTGACAGAAAACAAATGTAATCAATTGCATATTATAATGATTGCTTAAAGTTTTCCACCCATAATTATTCAGACACTTTTTATAGGAGCTTTTTCCAGTTTGGTGTGGAGGACAAAAGCACTTGAATGTAAAGTGACTGAGGAGTGGTTTTACAAACAGGGCAGGCCTTAGTTCAATTAGGATAATTAAGTAGCTTTTATAAACGTGCCTTAGAAAAAAATCCATTACTGGTGTGCATCTAATGGCAAAAGAATGACACTGACGATTTTTATATTTTGGTTCTTCATTCTTTTTCAATATAAAATCTTGTTGACTGACAGTTTAAAGATGCTTAAATTCCTTTTTGCAGTCAGGTGAACGCTCAGTCAATGTTTTGTTGTTTATGCAACATTTTATATTACGAAATATTTAAATAACAAGACTACCAAACTACTAGTGGAGCACTAAGACTAAGAAGGGCCCCATGTTTACAGCAAGTGCGAGTAGGTCACGTCACGCTCTCCAGCCATTGGTCAGGTTTTGAGTGACGCAATCACGCAGAGTTTCCGCAGTCACGGCGTCCCTCTGGTTCAGCGTCTCTCAGACCTTGTGGTGCCCTTAAACTTGAAGTTATAACAAGTCTATCGTCATGGCATCTCAAGTGCCTGGGCTTTCAGCTCTGATTAAACCGGGGTTAATACCGGGTTTCAAGGTTTCTAAAGGTAAGAGCGATTTTTGTTTTAATATAAAGCCGACGGCAACCTTGATCGATTGCAGTCTAGCAATGCTAAGGAATCAACACATATATGTCGGCATGCTCAATTTAATGCTGTGAATACGAATATTATATTCATTTGAGATTTTAAATGATTTTAGATTAAGTTATATTAAATTGGGATTCTAAACACGCGTATTGCATGCATGCACGCGTTATTATATCATAAGTGCAGGCAATGCATTTTGGATATTTAAATCAATGCAATGATTTATTAGTTATTAACTGCATCTAGATTGTTATGCGGCAAAGAATGAGCTTGACAAACTCGATTGTTTTCATATCTCGGGAAACATGATATAGACCGAATAATAGTTATTTTTGAGTTATTTCTCAAAAATTCTCAAAAAACACCTTTTTGAGAATTTTTTTAACAATCATTTGAAACAAATCGGTCTATACGATTTTTTTTTACGTTTTAGCATTCACGTACTTGCAGCGATATGTTTACATTGTTTTTAATGACACTTTTTAGAGTATGTTATATCATGTCAGCGATCACGTGATGACGTCACGAAGAATTGCGAAACGAATTGTTCGTAAGAACCGATTCGTGGAAATCCGTTGAACAGTCAGAGGTGAATCCTTGTCACATGACCAAGATGAAAGATAAATGTAGTGCCTACTCACATAGTAAGCGATTTCGGACACAGCTAAACGTCCAACCTGGATTTACACAGTCTATATCAGTGACATATTGACACGGATACCTATATAAATAGTCTGTGTACATACATAACTCGAGTCGTGACTACATTTTAGTGCTGATTAAGTTTCATGGGTTTAGGCCAGCCATAGGTCACATGACACAAAGATATGTCTAATCCCAGTAAATACCTGTCATCTGTACAGCATGTGTTTTGTTGTGTGCTACAGACATAATATTTATCTGTGTATTTGTTGTTTGGGCACTGAGTTGTTTTTCTTTGCTATTATACAATTCATTCTAAAGATATTTTATCTAAAACTGTTTGTTCCAAAGGGCTTTTGTCTTGTATGTACAACTGTTAATTAATAACTACCTGGTGCGTGATGGTGAAATTGTAATTCATATCGATTTTCTTAATTCATGCATTGCAGAAAATATGGAGCTATTAAATTAGGCGAAATGAAATTGTCTCATAGAAAATCATGAATTAAAACCAGAAAGCTTTGAAATGTGACCTCAAACTATTCAGAGTTGGACATGCTTTTTTAATTACTGATATTTAATCCAGAGTCCAGAAGAAATTTTTTTTTTTTTGTAAAAATTGAATTTGGAAAAAATATAAAACATAGTGATATAAGTCATAGTACCCTACCAATAGATCATAACATCCAAAATTCAGTTTTAAGATTCCTAGACTTGGCTGAGGGTCCACAATCAATCTGATTTCTGCTTGTTCCCACTACAAAAGAAGCCTTAAAGTGCATTTCTATGTATTTATTTTTCATGTAAAAGAAGACATTTTGTCTCCCTCGTCAGACCCAAAGTTTAAACAAAAGCTTACCTAGACAATAGAAATGTGATAATATCACATTTCTATTGTCTAGGTAAGCTTTTGTTTAAACTATCTATCATAAAGCTAAAACTAAAGCTATCATATGCTTTTAATAATGAAAGTGATGCTGAGTGTGTAGAGCAGGCAACCTCCCAGCCCTCTCAAAAACGAGCGCCTCCTCGTGTGTACGTTTGCAGATCAGCTGACCACCATCGTTCCCATTGCAGTGGCTGCGGCTCTGAGCACATACCTCCTGACGCGCTACTTCAGTTCACAGAGCAGTCCCGCGAGCAGGGTCAACTTGACTGTCAAAAAAGACAGCCCGAAAGTAGTGCACAGCTTCGACATGGAGGACATCGGCAACAAGGCCGTCTACTGCCGCTGCTGGAGGTCCAAGAAGGTGAGCGAGACCATGTTAATAGGATGTAAATGCCTGCTGAATGAACCTGCTGGTCTGTTTGGAGATTATCTGTTTGAACTATTTTTAACCATATAAATCCTACTGTATTATATTTGATGCATACAATTCAAAGGCTTCTAAATTAATAACATGAGTAAAGCTTTGCTGAAAACCTCTTGTACACGATCTACTACATGCCTTCTGTCGTCTGATTGGTAGTTTACACTTTTTGAGCAAGTAAAAGACCTTTTAGTATAATTCTAAAAACATCCCCCTTCAGGTCGTGTGCATGTTTATGAAATATTTACTGATTTTTATCGAATAAACATAATAACTTTTGTCGTAAGGAAGATTTCAATGTGAACACATACTGGTCTGAAGCAACTTAGGTTATCTTAATTATATTATATTTTAACATGGTTTTTAATTAAATTAATAACACTGACTGGAGACAACAGGCTTTTGAGTAACGTTTATTTGTTTATCTCTTTTTTACATTTACTCGACAACGATGTTCTAAAAACAGTAATGTTTTTTATAGGGCTGTCAAACGATTAATCGCGGTTAATCGCATCCAAAATAAAAGTTTGTGTTTACATAATATATGTGGGTGCACTGTGTATAATTATTTTATATATATAAATCCAAACACATGCTTGTATATATTTAAGAAATATTTTCATGTACATGCTGTATATAGATTTAGATATAATTTATATTGTATATAAATATAAATATTTTATATAGAAATAATTTTTTTTCTTAAATAATTTACATGCATGTTTTTGTATTTATATATATATATATATATATATATACAAAATAATTATACACAGTGCACCCACATATATTATGTAAACACAAACTTTTATTTTTGATGTGATTAATCGCGATTAATCGTTTGACAGCCCTAGTTTTTCCTTTGCGTTTTTCACTTAATCGATGATCGATAAGTTTTATCGATTAAATGTATTATCGACAATTAATCGATCGTCGATTAATCGTTGGCATCCCTATTGGGCACCAAACAGTTCAAGGTCCAAATGAGAGTTTCAGTGAAGCTAGCGAAACGATTGGTCATTTCAAAAATAAATAAAAAAGTTTAAGTTTTATAAGCACAAATGTTCGCCTTGCTCTGTGATGCGCGTTCGTGACTCTCCTGTTCGAACTCGTTCATTAAAATGAACAAATCCTTTTTCGAGTCTTTCGTTCGTTAAATCAACCAAATGACCGAAAAAAGATTCGTAAAACATTTAAATTACATCTTACTAAGGTCACATTTACATGACAATGATGTGCCAAAAACAGAAACGTTTTTCCTTTGAGTTTTTTTGCATATATAGATGCCAACTCTTTCGTTCACGTGACGTGGATCAGAGAAAACGACTAAAAATACTGTATTACGCTGTCATGCCAGTAGTTGGCGATGTTTCTTTGCAAAGTGACACGACTGAACATGTAAAATGCATGTATTAAAAAAAATAATAAAATAACTTTCAAAAACGTTGAAATCAGTTTTTAGGCCCGCAAACATCACCGTCATGTGAATGAACGGCCAACACGCATAAGTTTTCCATTTTTGTTGAAACGGTGTTGTGTAAACATTGAGAGACAGTGACAACTAGTATTGATATACATTTTGTGTAAGTAGTCTGTTTAACTATAATATACTGATTTACATTATACTTGCCTATAATACTCTACTATTTTTGCTACTAGTTTTGGCTGCTGAGCCATAAAATCCTTCTGTATCAAATATGATACAAAACATAATTCTCATATAAATATAGTTCTTCATGTGTAAGTCGTTTTGGACAAAAGCATCTAATGTAAATGTAGGCCTACATAAAACACTTTTTTTTTTAGATGTACTGTACACATTTTAGATAAAGGTTCAATAAACTGTTTCAACTGACTATTATTTGAAATGTCAGACTTTCAAGGGTTAAAGGTGTAATTCACACTGTCCTGAAGCGCCATAGTAATCTAGAAGAGCTTCCTGTGGCTGTACTAATGCAAAGTGCTGGGATAAACACCAAAACCACATGTTGCGTGCAGATACGTTATCATACTCTCGGAAAGATCATCATACGTGGTTGTGATTTGTATGTATTTGTTTGTTCCCTGGACAGTTTCCCTACTGCGACGGCGCACACGCCAAACACAACGAGGAAACTGGTGATAATGTCGGACCCCTGATCATTAAGAAGAAAAACCCCTAGATATTCAGTGTGTGTGTGTGTGTTTCCATCAGTGTTTTCCATCCACTGGAGGTGAGAGGAACTGGACGAAGATTTCACTTCTCAGTGTTAATGCATCTCGTTCACACAAGGACTTCCTGTATCACTGCAGACACGCTGTGGTTTTACACTTGGTCTTCCTCTCCAACTCTAACACGACCCATATTATTTAAATGTGCTTTAATGTACTCTAAAACAACTTTGCACTACAGCGCAGATGAATGTGGCGGGCCAAAACTTCTACGCACAGTTTAATTAACATTTGAGGCATTATGACTTGAGCATGTAGTTTTTACCACATCAGGTGTAAAACTAAACCAAGACTTCATATCAGTATATTTTGCTCTTGCTGTACAAGGAAAGTTTGCATTTTGAATAAACGTGATTTGAAACGGCCGTCCTTGTGTCATTGTTTCATGCTCTGTTCTGCGTATATTCACTAAGCAGGGTTATCATTCTCTACCCACAGTTTTAAAACAGGATGTGGGGGATAATGTGCTCTACTTCCTGTACCGCTGCAAAACACAGGAAATTAGAAGATCCCTGCTGCAGTTCTGCTTACAGCCAGCAGATGGAGCCACTTTATCAATCCACTGCTCCTGGTTTATTTTGAAGATATTGTGATTACTCCTGTGGCTCTGAAGGTTTTAAGATCGAACAAACAATCTTTTTAGCTTCTTTAGACCATAGTTGTGTCCCAAATGACGCACTTACTACACTATGTACTCAACCGTGTAGTTTATGAATTTTATAAGGCTATTTTGTGATCCAACATCAGGATCTGATAGCCCTTCCCCTCTTCTACATAAGTAAAGACAGTTGAGCGCATGGTCTCCAACATTCCACACTATTTTCGGTTAAGTGCATCATGTTATGCAAAGTGCACTTTTTATATTTGGATAGGCCTACTTTTTATCATTTTTAGCGTGAACACACTATTATACCACAAAACGTCATACAACAGTGCTTAACTAGTAACTACACAAATTGGGATGCATGTCATGTTCTTAAGTGGTATTTGAAAGTTGTCGTTATGAAAGTATGCATATCAATTATTTATTGGTTTTATGCTTTATGCTTTAATGTGCGGTTGAATTAACCAATTTTTTTTTCTCTAACATTTTGCTGATATAAAATTGTGTTGTAGGCAGTTGCTGGTCGTCAAAACAAGCTTTAAGTCTTACGTTTTAGTCACTGGACATGGCTTTGGGGCCGTTTTACAAAAATAATTGAACTAATCCCATCTTGTCTGTCTAGTAACTTTTACCATCCATCAAGGATGTTAGTCTGTGAGATAAAGATAGGTTAGATAAGAGTTTGCTGTGTCCAAATGTCGAGGTCTAGCAGCTCTCCTCAACTGGCCAAACAATTTTAGGTAGCCTATCATTGATGCCCTAAGTAATTCATTACATTTATATAGCGCTTTTCTGGACACTCAAAGCGCTTTACATAGAGAGGGGAATCTACAATTGGATCTACAAGTACAATTGGCATGGGACAGGTTAAGTTTAATTTGTTCAAATCAAGTCTCTAAAAAAGAAACTGCAGGTGAAATAGAGACCAATACCAAGACCATTAACAGTCTGCATGTTGGGGGGCCGTGGAGATCTCAGTCATTGAAAAACAGGAAGCTCTGACAACATGGTGCCCAAAACCACAGGTAACTCACAGGAGTGAGAAAATAGAGAGAGCAGAAGAAATACGGAGAGGGTCTCAAGGGGGAACGAGTCGACTGCATTTCTGTGTTGGAGAAGCGGGCTGACGGCATTCCTCAGCGTCTGAGAAAACCGGACGTTTGCTGTATCTCTTTCTCTTTTTTTCTCCTCCTCTCCCTCGGTCTCTGTGCCGTCGTCTTTCAAGTGGGTTTTATCCCCTCCTGTGGAGCGGGTCATGTGTCTGGCTGCCAGAGAGAACCATGTGACGTTAATTCCCCCCCCCCCCCCCCCCCACTCCCACCACACAATCCCCCCCTCAGAGAGGAGGAGGGCTCAGCTCTCAAAGTTATCTGGGAATTATGAGGCCACAAGGAAAAGGCAAGTGTGTATTTGTTTATTTATTCACCCATTTTCATGATCTATCCCGTGGTTTCTTTTGGAGATGATCTGTGTTCTGTCACACAGCAGGGAAACACTGGCTGTATACTACAGGAACGTCCTCCACGGTGAACTCAGCGCATGATGCAACTCAGAATCCAAAGGTCTGATGAATGACCTCGCAAACAAACCTGGAATAGTCAAGCATCCTGGAATATTATTTGTATAGTCCACTTCCACAGTGATTGGTACAGAATGCTGTAGCTGTACAGAAATATTATTAAAATTATTTTATTTAGTTTTTGTTTATATATAGCCTACCACATACACACATGATATATGACATATATATGTTATATTATATTAAATCATATAATTATATTAATCATATTAAAATAAATGTGCACTGTGTATAATTATTTTATAAATATAAATACACACACATGCTTGTATATATTTAAGAAATATTTTCATGTTTATACTGTATATAGACTTATGTATAATTTATATTATATATAAATATTTTATATTTAAATAATGTTTTTTTCCTAAATATACATGCATGTGTGTGTATTTATATATATACAAAATAATTATACACAGTGCACCCACATGTAAACACAAACTTTTATTTTGAATGTGATTAATAGCGATTAATCGTTTGACAGCCCTAATATTTTTCTTATCTTAATATATAATTAGATATCTTTGAAGTGGCTTATGTATGTATTTAGCCTATATACTGTGGTAATCGCATAGTACCATGCTAATATATCAAATGAACGAAGTTTTTGTTTTTAGAAAACTGTGATGTAATGCCATGGTATTCATTGAAACACTATATGGAGTGCTATCTACAAAAAAAAAGTACAGTGGCTGCATCATGGTACAGTTGTGGTATGAGTTGGTAATATGGTACATTAATATATACCACATTACTTCCAAAAGATACAGTGGCATTACAATGGTGCATGTCCAAAAACAACCAAACATAGTTGGTAATAGTAATGTTTTGTAGGTCCCGTAACTAAGTAGTAGTATGGCATTTTAGTGTATAATAGCACCATATATTAAGATACAAATGTTGTGGGAAATTACCATAAAGTACACCCTCAATGCTGGGTTGTTTGAACCCTAATTTGGGCCAAATATGGACAAACCCAAATGTTGGGTTAAAAATGTGATTTAAAAACTTTCTCTTTTTTATTACATTTTTAACCCAACATTTGGGTTTGTCCATAGTTGACCCAAATTTGGATTGAAACAACCCAAGTGTACCCATGTAAATAATATGACATGTTTATGGATTTTACCACAACCCCAAAAAATCCATATAACATGCTCCTTTTTAGTGGGCTACATTTTTGTAAGTTATGAAATTATGAAAATGGAGTAATATTGCCATGTTTTTGGACTGAACCATGATGGTACTATTGATTAATGGTAAGACTTTAGACATCTGAATGAATATGGTAATTAGGCTATATGCAATGGTTTTGACACATAACTTTTCGTAAGGGAAAACTTACATAGTTTTGAGCATTTTGGTGAATACAGATAGGCCTAAATTGGAAAAACAATGATGGGAAGTGCAGCTGTATAGTGGTGTCACTTTACTCAAGCCTAAACTTTCCCGTTAATGCAATTGTGGAGGACTGTAACACGCAACCCCCCTCAAACCCGCAGCCAGCAGCGCCGCACTGATCGATCCGCATTGATCGTCCCTGACGAGCTGTTCCACTTTCCAGCCAATGCACGCGCGCCCGTCTGCGATTGGGAAGGAGCCCGAAACGGAGGAAAATTTCTGCCGCCCTGGCGGTGTCACTTCCCCACACTTCAGCTGGCCGCCTGCCAGACACACGGGACGCTCACAAGAGCTGGAGTGGACTCAAAGCGACGAAGAGGAGCGGACGGACGGACAAATGGACCCACAGCAAAATGGCTCTTCGACCACAGAAAGTCAGCAAACACAGAGAAACACGACGATTATGGTAACGACCCTTTAGTGACTCTTTATGCTGACTGATGGAGAAACTGAAATGAATGTGCTTTGTTGGATTGTTTCACGGGTTATTAAATAGGCTAATTAAAGGGCTTTTAAATAGGAAAATAAAATTTTCCTAAATAGACTTGAATAAATTCCATTGATATGTCTTAATAGGGTTATTAAATAGGCTATAAATTGTATTGATATGTCTTAATTTAAAAAATAATTAATCTAAACTCAATCAATCGCATTAATAAATAGGCTATAATAAATTTTATAAGAATAGCCTACTTTGTGTGTATTCCTGTTAAATACATTAACATATGGCATTAATATTCATTAATTATAAAATAACTAACGAAGCAAAAATATACAGCAAACAACATACATTAATCTAATAAATAAAAGTATACGATAAACAATATATTTAATGTAGGCTATGGCTAAAGACATGTTAATTTGATGCAAGAATTATTAATAATATTACAATTTTTATAAGGCTATAATTTATTGTGTTATTCACATATTTGCATTTCATTCTCATTTACCAGAGCACCCCATGGGGTTCTATTTTGGAGTCGTGTTTCGCATATTAAAATATCAATCAGCACCAAGTTCCTGGAAAGCCCGAATGTGCAAAAGTTCTAATATAATAACTCAATCACGAGCGCAGCCAACAGCCATTAAGAATGGAGTCGACAATGGGCTGAGTGTCCAGCCCTCTCAAAACTATACTTCATTCATTATTCCACTCTATGCATCACCGCAGACAGCCCCTCGCGCTCGTCCACACCTCTTAAAGGTTATTTATTTTGTCCCCGACGGAAAGTCCACTTCGGTTTTTGTGTGAGGCTCCAAAAATCTATGAAATGTGTTTGCATGTTCTTCTCCGGGCGCGAGGATGTGGAGGTGGGATAGAGAGACGCGAGAGGCTGGAGGAGCGCACGCGCTCGCTCTCGGACAAAGTGCGTTCTGCGTGTATCTGCCGGTGTTTGGGGGCTATTGAACGAACCAACGAGAATAATTCAGTCTGGGTGAGCATTGACTTTCGTTTGGCTCTTTTAGCTTGTATTCTCTCTCTGTGTGTTTTATATAAATCTCCGCAGCGCGTGAGAGCACCGGACCGCTCGGACAGTCGGAACGCTCCCCTCGGCTCACGAGCGGTGCGAATGAAAAGACGCCCGTGTTCGCAAATAGGCAAATACCCTATATTTATCAAAGGGGGTGGAATGAGACTTTGTTGGGGACTGTTCAAAGTTACAATGAAACCCAGCCAAGACGAATAAGTTGGCACTGAAATAACAAGGGAATGTGCTTAACCAACGCGACGTGTTGGCGCATACCGCGCGCTGTCACCATAGACACATCGGTCGAGATGAGACAAAAGGGATTTTGTTTTACTTTCTAAATGATCTGCGTTACATCTGCTTGATCATTCGCCCATATACATTAGATGCATTGGTGCAACTTTGCCACGCGTAACCAAATAGGCGCAGGGAATAGTTGAATATACGGCTATTTGTTTGTTGTTTGCTTGCAATGTTGTCACCGTAAACATAGCTCCCGTTGTGACATTTTCTGTTTTTATTGGTTGTCTGGATTAAAAAAAATATATATATAGGATATAGGCTACCGAGTGTGAATTTCTGAATTATTCAGAATTTCTCTTGGAGAGACGACGGTGAGTATGAATGCACGTTATATGTGCTGTTGATTATTAATCCATTATGAGTTGTATGCAAACTTTTTGTGCGTGGTGCGTACAGTATTTGCATTTTGATTATTTAAATGATCTTTTGTGAATATCTGCAATTAATCTATGCTCTTTTGCTGGGATTGATCCAGAAAGGGTTTAATTGAGGTGATTGTTTGACAGAACACGTAGATCTTGATAAGCAGGGCATCTTGTTTAGACACAGTTGGGCTATTTGTGCAGGTTTGGCTATTGTTCCCTGGTGATGTCCAGATCTCTCTACGTCGAGCTATTGTCCCTCTGGCTCGCCGCAATACTGGACACAGCAATTTCCAAGCCTCATATATGTTTGACATGAGGTAATTCAGTATTACATTGCTGAGTGGGCATTCAAACTGTTGCTAGGAACTTATTTATCTGTAAGCCAGGTCAATCATTTACGGAAACCCTCACTAGATGCAGCTTTTGTCCTGGTTTACCTGCAGGTGAGGGGTACCTGTCTCCAGTAAGTTTTTATTCCCATGCATCAAGATCCTGTGATGACTTGTAATTGATATTGTCATCTGTTTTGGTATTGTACAAATGTTTTGGCTAGTGTGTTTCACATGGGTTTAATAATACTGTTCAGTATGACTGAATCAACCTGAATACATTAGGTTTCACTCATTATTGCAATTTTTAGATCAGTTAGAAATAGCTAATGTATGTGTGCACATTTTCCTGCTCAGTATGTATGGTAAATATAACCGGGGCTAGTTGTCACACATGTTTATTTTTTTTTAAAGTGAATTCCTATTTAGACACCAACTTTATAGTGTTGATTACATTAAAGGCTAACAATGTTTCCACTGTCATTTCACTAAGAAATACAGTTCATTTAACACATGTTGACCTTTTGTGACAGCATTTTCACAATGAAATCTGAGTTATACAGAAACACAAAACAAATCTAAGTAAACACACAATAGTTTTAATCAACATTACTATAATATATGCATTTATACCATTTAAAAAATGTGACAACTTGCCCCAACCTGATTTTTTTGTTAAAAAATACTTGTTAAAGAAAGCAAAATTCAAAATTCTATAGTAAAGACAACTTCCCTGTTTGACAACTAACTAGCCCCGCTTTCTCTGGTGTGCATATTTTATTATTTTATTTTATTAATTCTTTCATTCATGCATGTTTGTTTGAATGAATGGCCAATTACATCATCTTCAAAGACAGTCACTCTCAACCTTAAGTCATTTTTTTTTCTCTAATTATCACCGATAGCATGCTTTACTGAGCATGGCAGTTAATTGAAATGTTAAGTCGTCGACGAGCGTGCGTATACGTGCGTCAGTGCGGCTGAGCTTGCACCTAGACATCCTGATTTCACTGGCGGCTCACCCCAGGGGCTTTGCGCTTGAGCTCACGATTCCGGTTTCGTGATAGAACAGACCGCCTGTGGACCCTGATAGACGTCTCTCACTGAAAAAGAATTGCTGTCACCAGGAACGGGCTTCTGCACGTAAAGGTTATGAAATATAACAATTTAACAGACTCAAACCGTCCAATTCAATATCCACACAAAATCTCTTCTTTTTTTTTTTTGAACTTCACAGCGAGTGTCAGTTCCTTGGAAGCACGGCGAACAAAGCGTAATTGTCACTAAAACAGATGTCTAGGACAGATATTATGTATAAATGTTGGCTGAGGAATCAAAAAGGGTCAGATGAGGCCAAAGCGAGCAGCAGATTGTTTGTCACAGTGAACCCATTTCAGCAGGCCAAAACAATAAGCTAATAAAGATGGGATATGATTATAAAGTAGTAGAAATGTTAAAATGGTGTGTGATGATGTGCTGTGAGGAATCACAGGGGTGAAACCAACATGTTCTCCACGCTCTTTAGGTTTGGACACCGTTCAAAAGTTTTGAATATTTATGATTTTTGAAATAAGTCAATAAGGTTTCAAAAATACATAAAAAAACAGAAATATTGTGAACTAATATTATAATTAATAAAAAGCTGAGTCAAGTTCAGTCTTCAGTCACATGATCCTTCAGAAATGATTCTAATATGGTGATTTGCTGCTCAAGAAACATTTCTGAACATTATCAATGTTGAAAACAGTTGTCCTGCTTAATATTTTTGTGGAAATTGTGATACACTACCATTCAAAAATTTGAGGTATAAGAGTGATTAAAAAATAGAATACATTTATTCAGCAAGGACACACTTAAATTGATCAAAAGTGACAGTTATGACATTTATATACCAACACTGATAATAAGAACTATTAATGCAGAATGATTTCTGAAGGATCACGTGACACTGAAGACTGGAGTAGTGATGCTAAAAATTCATCATTGCATCACAGGAATAAATAAAAATGGAAAATGTATTGAAATATAAAATAGTTATTTTTGACTGAAATAATATTTCTCCACGCTCTTTAGGTTTGGACAAAAGTATGTTCAAAAGTATGGAATACTTAAGATTTTATTTTTTTTTATTTTTTTGAAAGAAGTCTCCTATGCTCACCAAGGTTTCAAAAATACATAAAAAACTGAAATATTGTGAACTAATATTATAATTTAAAAAGCTGAATCAAGTTCAGCATCATTACTCCAGTCTTCAGTTATTCTAATATGGTGATTTGCTGCTCAAGAAACATTTCTGAACATTATCAATGTTGAAAACAGTTGTGCTGCTTAATATTTTTGTGGAAATTGTGATACACTACCATTCAAAAATATTTGAGGTATAAGAATGATTAAAAAATAGAATAGCTTTATTCAGCAAGGACACATTTAAATTGATCAAAAGTGACATTTATGACATTTATATAATGTAATAAAAGATTTCTATTTCAAATAAATGCTGTTCTTCAATAAAATGGTTTCCACAATTACCAACATAAGAACTATTAATAATTGAAAGCAGAATGATCACGTGACACTGAAGGCTGGAGTAGTGACGCTAAAAATTCATCATTGCATCACAGGAATAAATAAATCAAAATTGAAAATGTATTCAAATATAAAACAGTTATTTTTTAACAATATTACTGTTTTGATTAAATGAATGCAGCCTTTCTGAGTGTCTTCAGGAAAATTATTTTCAAACTTTTATCCATGCTTGCTTTAACCTCTTTGCGTATCTTCTATCTTTCCTTTCTAGGATTCTCAGGCCTTAGCTAATGGATGTTTAAGATGTTCATGAGGCTCGTCTAGTGTGGACTGCTGATTCTCCAGCTGTGCGCGCGTCAATCTGGTTTGGCTTCGGTCTTCAGAGGAACGTTGCAACTCTACCCCCCCACCCCCCACCCCTTCATCCTAAGCTCCCTCATCTCCCTCTCCCTCCCCCTCACGCCGTGGCCCATGTCCGCCAGCGGAGGGTCCATGGAGGGAAGTCGAGCCGTAGAGGATGAGGAGGCGCAGGACAGCTGCTGCGGGGATGAAGACACGTCCCCGGTGGTGGAACGGAGAAACCGCAGCGGCATCATCAGCGCTCCTCTCAGCAAAAGCCTGAAGCGCTCACGGGCTCTCTCGCAGTACATCGCGACCTGCTCGGCCGCTGCCGTCGCCAGTGTCGCGAACGCTAACAGACTCGCTCAGAGCTCCATGGTGGCGACGGGTGTCAAAGCGCACCCTACGGCCAGCCAGCACAGGTCACAAGTCGGGTACGCCAAACTGGACCGGGGCGCGTTAATGTCCGGTCTTCTGGACTCTCCGAGCGGCCTGCATCTCGCGCAGGCCGCCGAGCTCCTGCGGCGGGCGGGGATGCTCCTTCCGGTCAGCGACCCTTCCAATGTCAGCGTGGGAGGGGACATGGAGGCGGTCTCGGCTTCTGATTCGCTGGGCAGTGTGATGGACTTCCCGTTGTTCGGCAATGGCGGAGTGGGCGGCAGCTTTCCGTATCACCCGGGGCTCTTCATAATGACGCCAGCGGGAGTGTTCCTCGCCGACGGGGCGCTTTCTCACGTGACCGGCGCGTCGGAACACCAGCAGACGCAGAGCGAGATTTCGTCGGCCATCGGCGCCAACGGGAAGAAAAAGCGGAAGCGCTGCGGCCTGTGTCCACCCTGCCGGCGCAGGATTAACTGCGAACAGTGCAGCAGCTGCCGCAACCGGAAAACCGGCCATCAGATCTGCAAGTTCCGCAAGTGCGAAGAGCTCAAAAAGAAACCTGCTGGCGGGCTGGAGGTAAGATGGTGAGCAATGTACAGTAAATTCATCAAAATTATGACCGCAAACTAGCATCGCCTGCACGGGCACCGCAGCATAATCAACGCTAAATCACTTGGCAGCGCTTCTGACACGTCGAGCTGTGATGCTCATGCAGGGGTTGCCAGTTTGAGTGTGCTTTGTGTCATTTTCTTGATTCTCTCTCCTCATCTCCTTATCGTTTCCTGTCCGCTGTACTCTCCCTGTGCATAATTTAAAAGTCATGAAAAACTGTGTCATAGTGAGTTAAGTCTTGCGGAAATGACTTATTTCAGTTCAGTGCAATCGTGGATTTGACTAGAATTTACTAAAATTGCAGTAATTTTAAAAATAAGTCAAACTAATTAATGTATTAATTAGTGCTGTCAAACGATTAATCGCGATTAATCGCATCCAAAATAAAAGTTTGTGTTTACATAATATATGTGGGTGCACTGTGTATAATTATATATATAATATATATATATATATACACATGCATGTATATTTAAGAAAAAAAATGTTATTTTATATAAAATATTTATATTTATATACATAATATAAATTATAAATAAATCTATATACAGTATATACATGTAAATATTTCTTAAATATATACAAGCATGTGTGTGTATTTATATATATAAAATAATTATACACTGTGCACCCACATATATTATGTAAACACAAACTTTTATTTTGTATACAATTAATCGCGATTAATCGTTTGACAGCCCTAGTAATAAATAATGACCTCTGACCTGTACAGAAATTCTGTAGCTATTTCCACTAGCATTCAAAAGTTTTTGGTCAGCAAGATTTTTTTTTTTTTTAAAGAAATGAATACTTATATTCAGCAAGGATGCATTAAATTGATCAAAAGTGACTGCAAAAACTTTAAGAATTTTACATTTTACATAAATGCTGTTCTTTTAAACTTTCTAGTCAAGTGTATCAGGCTTTCCACAAAAATATTAAGCAGCACAACTGTTTTCAACAGTGATAATAATCAGAAATGTTTATTGAGCAGCAAATCAGCATATTAGAATCATTTCTGAAGGATCATGTGACACTGAAGACTGGAGTAATGATGCTGAAAATTAAGCTTTGATCACAGGAATAAATTCACTGGAATAAATTACATTTTAAAATGTATAACAATAGAAATTGTTATTTTAAATCGTAATAATATTTCACACTATTTACTATCTTAATGTATTTTTGATCAAATAAATGCAGCCACGGTGAGACTAAGAGACTTAACACAAAAAATATTACCGACCCCAAACTTTTGAGCATCTCACTAAATAAAATATCTGGAACTTTGACCAAAGAAGTCATCTCACACATTACCATATAGAACATATTTAAAAAATATATCATGTGTAAACGGCTTCTAAATAGTTTGTTTGCCACAATAATGCAATGGCTTTTAATTTCTCAGGAAGTATTGATATATTGTGATTTGCTTACTTCATTTAGTTAATTAATCTGCACATCATGTGATTTATTAGATTAAAATGTTTAATCGATTAACAGCAGCTTGTTTTTACAAACAGTCTACATAGAAATTAATGCCGCGTGTGTTCGCATATGAACATCACTCATCCTGACAAATGGCAAGCTGAATGCAGTTTCCCATCTCTCAGGCAGCGTAACTTGAGATGTTTCTGCCTTGTTTTCAGGCAGGTTCAGGTGTGGGAAAACTATCTCTGAGTCTGTGCTGATGTAAGCTAGTTAGGGTCTATAACTCTGCGAGATTGGTGTCATGGTAAGATTGGTCTAGTTGGTTGCTCTTTTTTTCTCCTTGCAAGGAAAATGTTAAGGCAGTCATATAATGTTCCACAGGTAAGGTTCCCCTTCACTGCCCGCTATGATGAGATGATTCAGAGTTTCAGCTATCACATTTAATGAAGTTGAATGAACACAATGAATATAAAATGTTGACCACACAAGTTTCTAAGTGCTGTGTGGGAAGAGACTGAATGTGGGACTTTGGACCTATAAGATTTCAGTGTGGGCGGGGCTACCCAACACACACAAGACAACAGCATATATCGTGCATTCAAGTTATGACGGAATAATCGTATTAATTGAGCACATATGAATGCCATCAAGTTGTAATTACAAGTGGGAAACCTGTGGGATTACCATTAAGGCCAGAATTTCAGAGTTGGCAGTGGATGCAGTGTCTGTATTAATGGTCAGTTTGCTAAAATGATTTTTTTTTTTCATTTACAATTAAACAAACTGGCATGTATTTATTATTCAATTTAATTTAAAGCACCTGACATCATAATAACTTGATTACTGCCATGCCTTTTATAAAGCTGAATTTGGAAAAGCATAATAGCATACCACTCTTACAATTTATTACATCTCTTTATGTATTTTTTTTTGCAGAAATTGTAAGATTATGCTATTCAGACATTTGCTATGTTTGAAAATGTAAAACTATAATACTGAATACTTTGTAAGCACTGTAAAGCGTGTAATATTCTTTAAAAATAGTAAATGAAACAGTAGATATTATTTTACAGTAAACTGTTTAAACAGTAATATGCTAAACTGTTGTCAGATGACCTTATCACATCACATATGATATGACTGGAAATAAAATGGTCATTTTGCCTTTTGTATTAATATTTTCGTAAAAAATACGAAATCAATGAAATGCCACTGCAACTCCTTGTAAATCCTATAATCAGGTGCATAAGAATAAGCAAATAATCGAACTAAAATAGAGTCATCTATATACTGCTATATAGCTTGCAAAACTTATTTTAATGTTTCAGTCATGAAACCTTCATGATGGTCACATGAAAGTTGCATGACTAAAACATCAAAATAAGATTTGCAAGCCATTTGTTAAATTATTATTTTTTTAATTATATAAAAAATCATGCGTCATGTTTGAAATGGAAGTGCAGTGCATTGTGGGACACAATGAAATAGATCTGGCATATGCCATTCAGGTATTGTAGAAAGTGTCGTGTGATATATGCTATTCCAAATGAATAGCTAAATGGCTCCGCCCACAGAAAAATCTCAATAGCCCTAAATCCTGCTCCATACAGCTGTTTGTTAAACATTAAATAAAGAGGTTCTGATTTTGTTGCATTAAAGGTAGGGTAGGCAATTTTAGGAGAGGCTAGCAATAACGAGCTAGCTTTGAAAGCATGAGATCCCACCCTCCCTTCAGAGCGTCTTTAAGCCACGCCTCCTTTAAAACACATGAATGCTTACAGCAGGGAGCAAACAAAAACGTCACGAGAGACGCCGTGAAGTAGGACATCGGACCGAATGCAATTATTGGAGGAATATTTGATGGTCTTCCACTGACGATATTTACATATAAACACATTTTAGATCACTTAACTTAGTGATCGGGACGTGAAGAGACTTGAAGGTGTGGTCACATTAACACATTTTGCATGCAAAAAAGGATGTATGAAAAATCTCACACTAAAGTCACTTTCAAACCAAGCAGCTTTCTGTTGGTCGACGTGACCTGGAAAATCTTTGTGGGGAAGTGTTTCGTTCCTCACATATAATTCCAGATCGTGTGGATTTGAAATGACTGGATTTCGCTGTGAAAAAAAATGGTAAATATGACTGCATTTTTACTTGATGCTACAAACTTTTCTGTTTTAGGGAGGTTAATAAAATGATTTATATGAGTGCATATGGGGCTTTTTGTACATGTGCATATTTATTTGTGCATATGAATTTGTTTTCATGCATGTTTGCATACATGCATGTGCATGTGTGTGTCTCTGTATGTGTGTGGCAGCCTCACATGGTCCATCTGGCCTTTGCGTCTGTCATCTGGAGCACCAGGTGTCAATGTGTCCCAGAACCCCTCTCTTTCTCGTCCTCCAGAGGCCCTGAACCGCACGTGTGTGTGTGTGTGTCTGCTTGTGTGTACAACCTTGCAGGAAGAGGCAAACACAGCCCCTGCGAAAGTCATTATGGACTTTGTGTGTGTAAGAGGGGTTGTGTATATGTGTGTGTACTGACCAATGACCTGCCTGGTTTCTTTGAGAATTACAGCCTTGAGGAGGTAGAGATTGAAGTGTTGGTGTGTGCAAAAGTTTAGAGAGCTTAGTTTGTGTGTGTTTGTGTCTCTATGAAGTCTAAGGCCCAAAATGCAAACGCTTCTAGCTACGTTTTCACACTTTGTCATATTTCTAATCTATAATGCAACACAAATATGTCACCACAAGGAGTGCTAAAGTGAGAATTTGCATAAACTGTGAGTTTTTGTCTTTCGGGTCAACTACTGTCATGGCTGGCAACAGTTTCAATATAATCTTGCTAAGCAATTTTACATTTTTAGTTTATAGATGTGTAACACTTAAAGGTACAATATGCAGGATTTTTGCAGTAAAATACCCAAAAAACCACTAGTCCAATGTTATATATTTTGTTTAGTTGATTAACTTACAATATCCCAAATGTTTCCAACTATTTGTAAATCTTGAGAAAATAGCAATTTTAACCAAGGAAACGGGGCGTGTGAGCAGGAGGAGTCGCCAGTCAATGACGTCATATCTGCGTTACCCCCTGGTTTCCGCCAGGTTTGACCTCGTACTGCAATAGTAACCATGGCGACAGACTTGGACAACTCGGTCGGTTATGCCCATTATGCGTGCTCAACAGCGTGAACGTCCCTAGCAGGGTTTTGTTCAAACATTATGGATCATGGCAAGCGGACTTTTAGACAAAAAGAGGACTAAAACGAAGATCAACATCTTTCGAGATTTCGAGAGCTCCACGTCCGCGACTAACTTCGACTTAGAGCAAATCTCAAATGCCGTTTAGTGTGATAGTGAAACTTTTATAGCAAGTGAAACAGCACTGGCTGCGTTACCTCAAGTTTCATTCCTCTAATAAACTGACCTGTGTGAGTATGTTAATTCAGCGTGTAGTTCGTTAGAATTTAATTTCCTTATTCCTTTATATCCGCGGGACACGCGTTGCGTGTGGCGCTGGTATATGTCTAGCA